AGAATGCTGAGTTTAAATAAAATCATGAGTCGATCAATGTCAGACCACCATCCACGACCTGAAAGCACTGCATGGCCGTTTCGTCCCAGTAAGGTACTCCTCAACAGTGTGCGTCAAAGATTCTGAATGTCACATTCCAACACTTAACCTCGTGACCACTGAATCGTCATCCAACGGTATTATTGTTTAACTTCAATCAAACAACGATATCGCCCAACCATCTTCCTTTGTACTTGGTTGTTATTTGCATCACATCCGACACGGTTGAACTCCAGTGGCTTGACCTTCTCACTAGAACTCCGAGAATTCCATTTCGCAGCTAGTCATTAGTAAGGACATAACAATTATCACTATGTGGTTGTGGGTTGATACAAGTTGAGCATAGGTTAACTCAGTGGTCTGTAGGTTAAGCGTTCGCGTGTGAAACGGAAGTTCCTGAGTTCGATTTTCATATGCAGGATCGTTGATGCTCATTGCTGAAGAGTCATGTGCTAAGAAGAAACGGTCTTTTAGAGCTTCCAGCTATTCCACAATGGTCTATCATTGTTCACTCCATAATTTCAATAAAAATAATAGTTTTATTAGCAAACTACTTTACGAAAATTTAAAAAAACATTTTTAATAATGTAAAGGATCTATTTGACAACTTTTTGGTTCAAATATGAAAGTCAACTGTTTATTTATTTATTACATATTAGTCATGTATAAAATAACATTTAGTGTTCATTATTAACCATTTGGTATATTTTAATACCTTATGAATACATAAATGTTTTTTATTTCATTTGCGATACAGTAACATATGAATGGTCAATCGTTCAAAGTTGCGACATTACTTCAGTGTACAGACTTCTGGTGAGCTATGTTAAAAACAACAATTTAGCCAATTCCATTTAATTAAGAATTATCCTTAATTTGAATAGATCAACCAGTCGGTAATCATTCAGGGTTTAGTCTACGATACAGTAATGTTTATATGGATGTTTGAGACAATGTTTAAATAATCAAGACATTTTATGTATCAAAAAACAACAATGAAATAGACAAGACAACTAATCATATATAAAAGTTACGAAATGTGATGATATATTAGTAGTTATGATAAGAATAATAAAGGCCCGAATCAGTGTGTTGAAATAGGAAGTGGGTGAGTGAATTAGACAATTTAAAAAATCAACAAATTTTATCCAAATTGCGTATTACGAAGTTTTCAATTGACCGATTACTAAAAAGTTTATACAAGAAAGAGGTAGAGAAAATTGCGCAAACGAGGGGTAAAAAAATTTCCAAATCGTTTTTTAAGTCTTAGTAAACAGAGGAATGGTTAGGATTATAGATTTGAATTTCAATAACTTTTTTTCAGTAAGGAAGATAAGGTTGGACACTTTTTGTAAAACGGCGAAGGAATACGACAGATCACTCAAAATGACCAAATATTGGCTTCCAGATTGCTAATGTCAACCGAACGCGATAAAATGGAGCTACGTAACAACATTTTCCGATATTTTCTAAGTATTTATTTAGTTAGTTTAAGAAATCTCTCATGACAATCAGATCGTTGACCAAGGTATTTCAAAAGCCAAACATTATACTACTGACGCGGAGCACAGGAATCAGGATTATTATCCCAAAAGGCGGTTGTTTTTTTTATCGAGTACGGGACTTTTCAGCAGTGTACATTTTTAATCTCTCATCCAGGAATCTATTCTAATACCAAAAAGTTGTTCGTTAAATAGATTCACTACTTGCTCTCAAGTTTTATTTTATTAAGTGGAATATTGAATATCCTCAAACGTTCGTTTTTCAGTCTTTATTGATTTTGCTCAAACAGACACAAAATAGACTGATGAACCCAAAACAATCAACACAATGGTATCAGTAGAAGATACTAATTATTTTCTGTTTTACTTCTAAATGAAAGCGCTAACAGTTGTTATTTAGGCAAAATCAGATAACGCTAATGGTTATGTGGAACTTTGTATCAAAACAATATTGACTGAATAAAATGTCAGATATATACATAAACTGACTTAAGTCATTTATTTTCTGTTTTGCGAAATTTCTTATGCCCTGAAAAGGATTTTGTATTCTGTTCAATGTTTTACGTAACGAAATGGAGAAATCTTTATACTCATCTAATCTTTAATTGAGATCATGAACCAAAAAATGTCAGACCACCATTGAAGAAGTGGAATCACTGGACGGTCGTTTCGTCCTAGCACTGGACTCTTCAGCAATGCACACTCGCGATCCCGTACAAAAGATTTGGATCCACTTAGCCTCTACACTACTAATCCAGCGTCCAATGGTGTCAACGATCTCCACAACTCCTTACTGATAATTTAAATTTGACGAAACCAAGTGAATATAATTTTTTCATTTAAATTTACTGTTAAAATTCTTCCTCAAACTCCATCCTGACACCATTTGGATTTCTCTTAGTAATAAGAATATTAACTTTTAAAAGAACGTCTAATATGTTATTGACCAGTCAACTTACAAGCCAACTTAGTTTGCTATTATGCTGAAAGAAAAACTATGCAACGTTAATTTCGCATAAAACTAGTTATCGATGTAGGAGGTTAGCTTCATGTCTTAACCCAAAACAGGTTATTCAGGTTTACAGTGATTCCGATTGACACACACGTAAGTTAAGTAAAATTAAGGTAGCAGGCAGTTATCAAATGACACATGCAGTACGTTAAAGATTGTCTACAAGAGAGTAGAAATTAAATTTTAATTTCCACAGGATTTTGACCTTGTTATCCATTATTTCAAATATCAGAACTTTGATGAACATACTATTCATTTTTACTTCATTTTCTAGAAAATTTAAAACCTTTAGCTAGATATCTTGATGTATTGCCGTTTATTTGCTCGGCTCTGCATTTGGATATCCTCATACGACTACTACTAGTCGCACACTAAAGTTATTTATTTGTTAGTATTTCATAAAGAAATACGGGATACTTATTTCCTTCTATTAAGTTTTAAGAACTGTGTTGCACCGTAGCTTCAGTGGGTGCATAATCTACTGACTTGAGGATAAATCTCACTAAAAAAACATAAAGCAGAACAAACTGAACAGCATGGACATAACTAATAGACACTGTCACACATATAATGTAAGCACGTAACCAATGGTATAATGAAGCCATTCAGACATTTCGGTCAAATCTAAACGTAGACTGTTATATTCAATCCAAAATAAGAAGATATAAAATATTTAAGTCTAATATCTTTTTTTATGTTCATTTTGTCATTGACTGCAAGAAAGTGCCTTTTTCACTTCTTTAAAAAAGAGATAAACCAGTTGTTTTTTTAGTTACCTAGTAGGCGAATGTCAAACAAGTAATAGTTTACTTATGGAGCTACCAGTCAGTCATAAGATATTTCATCCCAGTGTAATAAAGCGATTGGCAGTTATTGATCGTTTACGTGTCGATTGTAACCAGTGAATCGAAATTAAGTCTTCACTTATGACATGAATTATTTGTATGCCTCACTCTATTTTTCTAAGCCTTTGACAAGCTACTAATTTTTTCAGATGAAATATTAACCGAAATTTTTTTAGGAAGCACATGAATCTAAGTAACTATATAAATAAAATATCATAGACCTAAATAATTTATCAAAAATATTAATTACGACTCGTTATTAGTTATTTAATATCTTGTGTCGCAATTATAATTTATTTGAAAAAAACGGTAGAACTTATGCAGGAGAGGAAGAGTATTGTCAGTACCAATATTTTAAATTTATTAAAAAAGATTATGATCTCATAGACTATCAACTGACATTTTCATCACTAAGAATAGAATAGTATTGAACATTGATAAGTACTTTGATGCTCATTCAATATAGTATGTTGGCTTAGTGGACCTGAATATCTGACTTCAATTTGATCGTATGTTGATTGTTATTGAATTATACATGTCGTCATTCCTTGTATATTACCATCGACTTAAATCGCATTGGTGAATAACGCGTTTAAATAAGTTAAATACGAGAATGGACTTTTGAATACATATATTTCGCACAATCGTTGATCGGAAAGCTAAGCAAAACAAAATGATGCGCAATGGAGAAGGCGTGTGAGCCAACTCGATTTAACTAAGCACGAATAAATATTTATAGTCGAACAAAAATAAGTTACAAGCATGTGATTCCAAAAGAATGAACAAATTGATCTGTCCGGAGCCTAGAGTAAGCTAAGCGGGCTTGATATAGCAACCGAAACTACATTGGACATAATGTTGTTCAGATAAAATCATTCGAATAGCTGTTTTCGATGTTCCCGTTGAGTCATCGACTCATATCTATCTAACTTTTAAATGTGATGACCGAACTGATAACCTGAAGTTATCTTCAATATTAATATGAACGATTCGTTACACTGTTTGTTATTATACTCCTGTAGAATGGCAGTAAGTTCGGTATTGAGATGGTGGAAAAAATTCATATCTCGTGTTGACAATTTAGGTGAAGATTTGTTTTGTAAGTTTGATGATTTGGTCGTGGAGCTTTCATTGTTATTTTAACAACGTAATCCGCACAAGCTTCAGGTAGAATCTAAGAATTAGAATTTCTCCACATTCGATTTACAGCTTATCCTATCGACCTCAATCTTGATTGGTTATTATTAGCTTTTGATCTGTTATTGTCTACCTAGACAATGATAGTTTGTGCTGATTATGGTATTCTAAAATACAATGAAAGCTCCACGAGCAAACTATTCAGCGTAGAGAACAGAACTTCACCTGAAGTTCCGTATCTTTTATGTCACGCACCATGTAATTATCAGCTCCATATCTTCCATGCAAAAATGAAATATTTCCATGATTAATGGAAATATTTATTTCCATAAACTGATCATCTAACAATCTGATACCAATAAATACAGTAGTTATCCTATTTTATATTTAATTTTTATATGAATAATAATACTAAATACAAAATATAAAACTTAATCAATGTAGATTAGTTAAATTACAACTTACCAATATCTGAACCATCAATTTCGTATAAACCAATGATATACCAAATACAAGCACACCAATGTGCTACTAATGCAAAACTAAACATAAGTAATCCTAATACAATTACACTGTACTGAGATAATCTAATTATTTTCTGTATAAGACGAGCTAAACGTAATAACCTTGCAAGTTTCATCATTTGTAACAATGATATCTATAAATAGATTTATAAAGATGAAAATAACAAAAAAGCAGTTATTTTTAAATAATCAAATTGTTAATTGTAGATATGAAACCTAAAAACTACTGTACGTAGTAATTTAAGTGATGAATGTACATCAAATAAAAGGTAATATGCATCATGGTATTTGAAGTTATTTATGTGAATATCAAAAGCTTGATGACCAATAGTGATGTTTGTTTCAATCTAGTTTTTATCTGATCCTGCTGAAGGTAGATATGTCTGGTGAAATTCATCTACGGAGGATTTATTTTGTTGTGTTGTAAAATAAATAGTAACTCAGTTAATTTGATCATCAATTAAAAGAAGCCAATGTGACCAGTAGTGTTAGTGAATAAAAACGTTTCAAGTTGAGGAGTTTACTTTGAGATAGTTGGAATGAAAGTGTGTGATTTTGAACTGAGCTATGTCGAATTTCTTGTTATAAATCTTGGAAACACTAGGGAAAATAGGCAGATTTAAATATTCGCATTTTATTCAACCAACACTTAAACATTTATTATCAGTGTTTTATGAAAGAGTATAGCGATGTAAAAAGATCACGATATCAGTTAGCCAGAAGTAGTTGACAAAAAGAACTCAACTGTGATTATTTTCCAAGTTATCAATCACTGGCAAACATTTTTAGGATGATCACCATGAGATTCGAGTCCACTACACCAATACTTACACTCAGAGATTTTAGCACTGAACAATGCGTGATGCTTTTTAAGATAACAATGTTTACAATAACTGTCTCAGAGTAGTTACCAGTGTTGCGATTTGTAATCCTTAGTCTTATACTTAATTTACCGAATTACAACCTGATTTCTCAATATTACAGATACACGTTGTCGTACATTTTAGTACGAAAACTAGGTTTATGGTTCAATGACAACTTCTTCCTACTACCTAAGATCTACATAATACATAATTATACGTAGTCAATTAAGTTGAATATCGCATCATGGCTGTATAATATAATTTGGTCAGTATAGTGTACTAGATAATTTGGGTTTGATATTGTTCAGCAATCAGTTAGTGTTATATGTGGATAGTTCTGAAGTATGCCCTTTAGTGCATTGAGATAAAAATTTCAAAGGCAAAAACCGACAAGTTCATTTATGAGAAAGGATACAATTTTCAAGAAATCTTTTCCTTAACTTATTCATTTTTTATTTTTATTTAACATGAAGTAACAATAAAAACATTTCTAGAACTTAGTCATTTTTACTACATATCACTGTTACATTTAAACAAATTCAAATGATCAGCGAAGTTTAAAGATATTGTGGTATGTACTACTGATGTTGACAGATATAAGTAGTATGTGCCACCAATCGGAAGTGAAATGCCTAGAGACAGAAGATAAAGAAGATTGAAGAAAAGAGAATGAGAACAGAGGATAATTGGTGTGGAAACGAAGAAATAATCAAGTCTGGGACAATCGAGTGACATTTTAAGAATGTAGCATTTACTGTATGGTTCTCAGATTTTACTAAAATGTTCTGTAATTCTGTATTCAAATACATTGCGTTATCCCCATTGATGTTCTCGTTCACCACAATGTGAGTAAAAAATTAGAACTGAGTATCTGAAAATTGCCTAGAACGAAAATTTTGGAGTTTTGATTATTAAATAAAAACGATTTTCCAGGAGAGTTTAATGTTATTAATAATCAGTTTGATATAATCAAAATAGTGTAAATGACAATTTTATTGAGTGTATAATGTTTTTTATGTTGATGTCAACTGTTACCATGTGAAATGACGTTCTACTCTACATTACTGGTGTTTCACTGAATAAATCTTAAGAAAACACTGGTGAAATTAGAAATTGTCTAGTTTTAAATTTACTCAGGTAAACTTTGTTACAACGAGTACGTTTTCAAAGCGTGAACGATGAAGACAATTCTTGCATAATGTGACTACAAAGATTGACAGTTAATGCATAACGACACCTAAACTATGACAACTGGAAGCACACTTGGTGAAAGAATTTAGCTTAGTGCACGAGATCTTTTCGTTTCAAGTGCAGAAAGTGAAATAAGCAAATATAAAAGCATACACGGTATTATATAATTACAAAGAATTGTGACGTTTAAAAAGTTTTATTAATATTTCCTTGAGTTACATCCAATCTTCATATTGAGATACAACTTATATCCTCAATCAGCATGAGAATGAATCTACTTTTAGTAACTGTCAACTATAAAATCAAAACAATCATTTGAAAATAGGCAGCAAACAATACAGATGGTTATTGCAATGAACACAATCTTTTTGGCTCACATATAATTAAAAGTAGAAAACGTAGAAAAAACTACAATAATTTCAAAATAAACGTCCGGAATTTGTCAGATACATGTGCGTCACTAAGTAATACTTGTGGTCCTTCTCATTAAGCTTGTCAGTCGAATAGTTAAGTTGTAGATAATTAGAATATAATTAATTATGTATATATTTCATCATTTAGTTGAGGTTATCAGTCAGAAACGTTAGAAAGATTTTACATTAATGAAATATTATTTAAACTAGATCAAATATTTTATTATTTTAACTCGAAATTATGTGATTTTATAGAAAGTAGAATTTCAATAATTGAGATCGTGAGTCAATAAAAGCTAGACCACAATGGAAAACCTGGAAGCACTGGACGGGCGTTTCGTCTTATTGTGAGACTCCTTAGCAGTGTACATCTACGATCCGGACTCGCGAGATCAGAACACAGGACCTACCTGTCTCGCGCTCAATCGCTTAACATCTAGACCACTGGGCTGGCATACAACGGTGCGAATATCTAACTTCAACTAATCCACGAAATTGTGTGACACATACACCATTGTCTTCAATGAGTTACTATCTCACAAATGACCCAGTTGAACTCCGTTGGTCACTGCTTCTCACTAGAACTCCAGGAAACACCTTTTGAGGCCAGTCACTAGTGAGCATATGTTAATCAATATAGTAATTTTAATAGTTAAGATCACGGGACAATTGAAGCTAGAGATAGTGAATCCACACTGTTGAGGAGTCTCACAATAGAACATAACTACCGTTCAGTGCTTCTAGGTTTTTCATAGTGGTCTAGTTTCAATGGACTCAAGATCTCAACTATTGAAATTACTATAGTATCCACAACTGATTGAATAATAAAACCTCAGAGATTATTTGACTATCATAGTCTAATTTTTAATCTGAACACGAATAAAGTGTTATATATATATATATATATATATATATATATATATATATATATATAGAGAGAGAGAGAGAGAGAGAGAGAGAAAGAATGTTTACGATGATTCATAGAAAGTAGATCATTCTGTTTTGAGAAAGGGATTCGTGGAGATTTTAGAAATTTCACTGATTGAAATCATGAGTCAACTGAAGCTAGATCACCATGAAAAACCTGGAAGCACTGGATGGCCGCTTCGTCTTAGTATGGGACTCCTCAGCAGCGCACATCCACGATCCCGCACACCGCGAGATTTGAACACAGAGCCAATCAGTCTCGCGCCTGGCGCCTAACCAACTAGACCACTGAGCTGACCGGCATCCAACGGTGGTAATGTCTAACTTCAACCAATCCACGAAGTTACGCAACCGTTAACCATTGCCCTTAGTGAGTTGATATCTCACAACAGACCTGGTTGAACTCCACTGGTAACGTCTTCTCACTAGAACTCCAGGAGTATCTCTTGACGTTAGTCATCAGTGAACAGATGATTATTATCAGGAGGGGTTTTGTTTAAATCATGAGTCAATTGATGCTAGACCACCATGGAAAACCTGGAAGCACTGCTTTAATTGACTCATGATTTTAATCAGTGACATTCTGTTTTGAATTTTTACATTAATTCTCTTCTTATTACCTTGTAAACATGGAAATATGAAACTGGAATTAAAAAAAATAAAAAAAAAATAATAATCAATACACAATTATTATTCTTACCAAATTAAAATTCACTATAGGTCTTATATCATGTTTATTATCATTATAATATAAATGTGGTCCATTTGTCTCGTTTATTGAAACATTTACATAATTTAATTTATCAATTAAATTCGTATTCATATTCACATCATTTAAATTAATAATGGATGTAATTTGACAAATAATTAATATAAAATCAACTGGTAAAGCAGCTAATAAATCTAATATTAACCATCCTTTAGCATAATGTTTAGCAATTAAATGACGATCATTTATAATTTGACCATTTTTATTCACATATGTAGTATGAAAATTTAATATAACATCTAAGAATAAAATAAAATAGAAAAAAGAAATTATTAAATTATGAAGATTTTAATATATGATCATTAAGGTAATAAATAATGTTATTTATGTTAAATCATTCTTAGAGTTGATCACATATATCACAGATGTCTTAGACATATTGCTGGCGTCTGCTGGAATCACCGGGTAAGTAATAGTGAGGTTAGATGCAAGGTATTAGGGAATGACGGTAAATCAGTTGATGATGTTGTGAATCTCCATCGACTGAGATGGTTGGGAAACGTGTCACGTATATCTGAACACCGATTACCACGACGTGCAATGCTAACCGGTGTTGGAGATGATTGGAAGAAGATTAGGGGCGGCCAAACCAAAACGTGGCATCAGTGCTTGAAGTCACTAACTTGTGATGTGAGCCATGTTGGTAGATGCAGACTACATAGAGCAGGTCCGCGTGACTATCGTAACCAATGGTTAGAGATTCTATGTGACATGGCTGAGAATCGATCACAATGGCGTCGGTGTATACACTCTCTGTCTTCCCTTAAACTAAGAGATTATAACTGTTTTACATCTTTCTTTCTATTAACTAATTCTTTCTTCCTGTATCATATGCATGTATGAAACCCTTCTTTTACATACTACTACTGACTGACTAAGTTGTTAATGAAGAAATTAATCTAACAGATTCAACATTAAATACAAACTATTGAGATGTTCAATGAAAGTTAAAAGTAGTTGACAAGAAATCATGAATTTAAGTTTTTTATTATTTTGATAGTGATTAATGAAGTGTACTTGTAATCGATCCTGTTTAGCTTCACATTCAAAGGCATTATCAGTAAAGGTTTCCTTTTTTATATCTAGGTTTCAAATTTTCGTATTTTGCTTTGAAAATTATGAGCGATCAAATGTTTTTACTAGCTGTGGTATTTGATATAGGGTGTTTTACTATCCAAATAGAAGCTGTTACTGAGTAATTTCTGTTGACTGACATTTAATCAACAGAGTCAAATATAGTTAATGAAACTGTAAAACATTTATATACATTATTAGATATTCTGAGATGGCCTAAGGATAAGAAATTTTGACGCTTTTTAATAATCATTAGGTGTTACAGGGCAGCATTCGTGGTTATGAGATATGACTTCAACCAAGAAGTAATTGGAGGATATTCTTATGCAAACACAGATCCTTCAAAAGTTATGATAATGTCAAACCAATCAGTTAGAAATAACTACAGCTCATTTCCGAGTATTCATGAAGAAGAGGCGATCGCTAACTTGGAATCCTGAAGAGAAAAAGAAAAGAGGAGGAACAACTAACTCAATATGTCGGTAGTTAGAAGCAAACAACAAACAACTGGAAAGGATTGACGACAAGTTCAATGGAGAATTCTGGTGTGCAGCTTTTGCTCCTCTACGTCATTAGCATTCATCTAATATTGGTGTGAAAGATGTAAGGTTTGAATGGTCAAGATTTTTATATAACACGTGTCATAGTCCTTACTATTCATCACAATAAAAGATTCTCTATAAATCACTTTAAGTTAGCTTTCATCCATATGCATACAAAGTAAAGACTTGAATTGCAATAAACTTCAGCTCATTGTATTAACAGATAATTAACATGGGCATGTAGTATGTGGACAGGTAAAAGTAGTAGGTAGCAAGAAACGGAAGTAGAATGCTTATATATTAGCTCTATATATATAATACCTTAAAATCTTGTTAAATTGTGAAGACTGAAAGTGATTAACTGACGAAAGAATATTTTAGCGCTTGAAAGCTCATAATTACATGGTTACTAAATGAAAGCTTGGACACTGAAAACTATATTTCCATCATATTTTTGCGAATAATAAAGAGAACTCATGTTACGGTAACTAAAATTAATTTTGCCAGGACCAAAATACAAAGTTAAAACTTAATCTACTGATTTAGGGTAAAAAGAGAGCTAGTTGGTTACATCAACCATCAATACCAAATGAATAAAGTTGTACATGGTTGCTGAGGTGTACTTATTTCAACACAGTAAATACAGAGTAACTGGTGTTTATCTTTCAGTCATGGGATTATGATTTTTAGTACATTTATATATTATGATCAGTACTTATTAGAATAAGATATATTGTTCAAAGTCAACAACATATACACATACTTGTTCAATGAATCCTATTAAAGATCAAAGATAAATCATAACTATCAGTGCTATAATAAATATATTTTTTGTTATATCCCAAGGATTAGAAAATTATATTTCTGACGTTTCGTGACTTAATGTAAGCCACTTTTTCAAAGTAAATAAATAACTGAAATAAAACCAACACAACTATAAATAGTAAAAAGTAAACTGTTATACATCTCTTCTTTTTTGGTCCTTTAGAAAAACTCGAGTTAAATCCCATAAATTCATGCATGAAATGTATTGATCAATGAAAAGTGATAACAGAAGATAGAACTGATCATAAACATTTACAGATAAATATTAATGGTAATTAACCACCGTTTATGAAATTTGGATTCGGATTTTTAGAAATGTATTGCATATTTTGAGCTGAGAACTTCTTACTGTAATCACAATTGTGGCATCGAATTAAATAAGTACTATCGTTACTAGTTTCATAGTTTTTTTTTGCTATTTTATCAAGTACTCCTGACGGTGCACAATGTAAATGTAAAATTTGAATAAGAATCTTTATATTGGTTCATCTAATCAATACTGGTCATTCCATAGGCATAACGTCACCACTTAAAGTTATTTACAAAGTCTCATCAAATTAACTTTATATTTCCAAAATGGGACTCCTATCTATATCAGAAGCCATAGGAATACGACTAAAATAACGTAACCCATGTTTACCAAACAAAATTGTACTCTGACAAAATCACATGTTTTAAAACCTTTAGGGTTTTACTTATAGTGCCTACAGGTTTTCAATGGTTGTCTAACACTGATCGATTCATGGTTTATATTTACATCCAATATCGATTCCAACTCCTACTCTTATGTAACCACTTATAATAATCTACTGATTATAAAATTTCATCCTACTTTTAATTTTTCAAACCTTGTATAAATAAGTGATTATTATATGATTACATTGACTCAACACCATCTAATTAATATCGACTTTCTACGCATTTGTAATACATATATATTAGTATAGAGCCCTGATGAAGAAATAATTGGAAAGAAACATTTCATCGCTTAGCTTGTTTCTTTTTTTTCGAATTACATCAAGTCGAATACATCAAGAGACCAACATGTTATTTACACAACTTACATGATGGTTAATAAAGTGAAAAAAACACATTTAACATAATCCCATTTCCATGAAAATCAATACATGAGAGAGGAATTAACAATTGTAATTACGTTTTAAAGCTAAACTGTATGTTGGAATGTCTCAACTATAAACGTATTCGTGATATTAAACAAATAGACAGAATAAATATTTAAATGATGGATTGTTATGGAATGTAAGACACATTTTTTTTGTTGTTTCGAAATTAGCAGTTGGGTTTATATGTATCTAAAATAGAGTAAAACACAGTTCTTTTATTTCAATTCTAGAAACTATTTAAATATCTTATTGAGTTTTAGTCACATACAGTATATATGGATCCCCTGAATGACACTTGGAATGCGATTAGAAAACTAAAGTTGTTATTATCAATAATGGGAAGATACAAATTTTGACAAGTAATAATAAAACAATTTTTACTCTTAGTCTAATATACATACTCACAGTAATGAAAAAGCATTAACTATGTTACGGATATGTCGTAAAGGCGGAATAACTAACTAAGAGATTCATTGATAAGTGTTTAACATTCATGTAGGAAAGAGCTTACATTATATATATATATATGTAAACGGGTTTATTCTATGATTGCCATCTGGAATAAGGAAAATCTTTAACTCTCAGTTAATATCATGTAAGTCATCATTCAAACGTTTGCTTTAAAGAAATATCTACAATTTCAAATGTAATGTGTAGGATAATATATTACATCATATAAAGAAGTAGACAATCCATTATAAATTTTTTTCTTCAAACTTACCAACAATTAGAAAAATTTCTACCATTAAATCAATAATTCTACATCGACCAGAATGCGTTGAATGGCTCTCAAATGTTACATTATATGGTACAATAAATGCTATGTAGAATGTTAATATCAAAAGTAACCAGTCCCATATTATATGAAAAAGACCATAATGTAGAAGAACAAAGTTTGATTTCGTTAATTTTTGTATTTTATATTCTGGGACATTTTTAACGCTGAAATTTTTAATTTGCTTTGAAAAAAAAACAGAAAAAAAAAGAAAGGAAAGAAAAACGTTTTACATATGTGTTGCATTATATTACTGATTGATAAACGACACATGAATACATATATCAACATCATATAGTAGTTCTATGCAATTTATATTGTAGATGGTAGACTTATCAGGTCATGATATTAACAAAATGTAATACGGGGATTCCATGAGTTTTACTGATTCCATTCAATATTTAGTACTTTAGATAGAATGCACATAACTTTCCGGATAAGGGTTGTAAACATATATGGTATCTTGAAAAACCACCAGTATCATGAGTAATGTATGTATATCTGTTAAAATAATGTAGATTATATTCAGTAATTAACTATAATCTATTATAAGATTATAAAGACTGGTGCCAGGCAAGGTTGCTTACTCTCACCCTTTCTCTTTCTCCTGGTAATCGACTGGATCATGAAGACGTCAACATCCGAAGGGAAACACAGGATACAGTGGACATCTAGGATGCAGCTGGACCATCTAGACTTCGCAGATGATCTGGCCCTCCTATCACACACGCAAAACCAAATGCAGGGAAAGACGACCAGTGTAGCATCAGCCTCAGCAGCAGTAAGTCTCAATATACACAAAGGGAAAAGCAAGATTCTCCAACATAACACAACATGCACCAATCCAATCACAATTGACGAAGAAGCTTTGGAGGATGTCAACACCTTTACATATTTGGGCAGCATGACTAATGAACACTGTGGATCTGATGCAGATGTGGAAGCGCGAATCAGCAAAGCAAGAGCAGCATATTTACAATTGGAGGACATCTGGAACTCAAAGCAACTATCAACCAACATCAAGGTCAGGATTTTCAATACAAATGTCAACACAGTTCTACTGTATGAGGCGGAAACTTGGAGAACTACGAAAGCCATCATCCAGAATGTCTAAGTGTGTATTACCAGTTGTCTAGGCGAAATACTTCGGATCCGTTGGCCAGACACTATTAGCAACAACCTACTATGGGAGGGAACAAACCAGATTCCAGTGGAGGAAGAAATCATGAAGAAGCGCTGGAAGTGGATAGGATACATATTGAGGAAATCACCGAACTGTGTCACTAGGCAAGCCCTCACTTTGAGTCCTCGAGGTCAAAGGAGAGGAGAGGAGAGGAAGACTAAAGGACACATGACGCCGAAAAATGGAGACAGACATGAGAAAAATGAACAAAAAATGGACAGAATTGGAAACAAAGGCCCAGGACAGAGTGGGTTGGAGAGTGCTGGTCGGCGGCCTATGCTCCATTAGGAGTAACAGGCGTAAGTAAGTAAGAAACTATCATCTATTAGAACGCTATCAGACGCCGAAAACCTGATTTATGTGTTCAAAAGGAGAAGGTTATTAATTTCTCCTTGCCTTGGTGACAAATATCTCTTCGCTGCACCTTAATATCTTTTTCTTTTTCTTTAAACTCTTTCTTGCATTTATTACATCATTGACTTTTTATTTCAACTATCTTCCAAATTAATTATTTTATTTTATCAACTGAGGTCTACTCACATTATTCCTATCAATCCTTACTTATTATGTAATCACTTGCTTCTGGCCGTTTGAACTGTTGTTACAACCTATGTTGTAGAATGTTGTTTTCATAAGGTGTAAATTTACAATATTCAGTCTATTAAATTTATTGACACCCCTACTATACTATACTGCTATGTCTTCAATATAACTTCCAACCAAACCCTCTCATGTAAGTAATTTAAAACCATTATGTAATTATGATTTTTAAATATCACAGGTTGTAAGCAGCTGACGAGAACCTAAGAAATAAAATGAATTCATGCTATTCTGCTAAAATCTTTGTTGTTGCTCTTTCCAAAATGATAAAGTGACCTATGTGTATGAAATTTAACGAAGTGGTTGTACTTGTTAGTAATATCCATTAAAAGGCTATTTCCACTTTGCAACATGACTTCATTTGGGATTCAAATAGATTGTTTCATTCTTGGTAATTAGTAGTTTTAATAAAAAAGTACAAGTTCATCATTTTGATAATAAAAATAATGGTAACTACAAGACAATTACATAAAAGAAATTGTTTTTAATAAGTCGTTAATTTTTCATATTATTTATAATACATCTATTCTACATCGAAATTCACGTGGTGTTGTTTACATATAACTTCCCATTGTTGTTTAGGACTGCAAATGATCAGTTTCTTGTTGGTATATGTGCATCCTGTGCGGAATATCCCAACATTGCTTTAATTCACAATCATTATCAGCAAAGATGGATGATGAATAGTTTGTGACTTAAGGCAAAATCCACATACGCTAACAAGTGACTGATCAGATGCAATCTTAAACAACAATGTCACGATACAAGTGGATTTAAACTTCATCCCATTGCACAAGCATGTGGCTATCAGGACTCAGTAGGTAAGTGGATATCACGATGGCGTTTGAAACGAACGGTGTTAGGCTGGAGTCTCAGAGTAAACATACAGGCACATCCAGCTGACAAGTTCAAAACAGGACAACACGCATGTCCTGGATTCCAGTGCTAGCCACCATCCATCTTTCCTCCATCGAAATTGTTTATATTGATTTCGGTAATTTTTTGAATATATAACTAAAGATCATTTGAATTTTTTCTAAAAACATAACATCTAAGATAATATACATTTATCTAGTGTTTTCCATCAAAACAATATGCATTTTCAACCTGGTAATTTAAGGGATAGGTATATCACTTCAAATTAACAGATGTTGTGTACATAACAGCAAGTTTTTTCCTCAATAAAAAATGAACACCAAGTGAATTTTGATTATGTTATTAAACAATCTCGTATTTTAATTGTACAAAATTTAAAACAAAATATAATGTTTATTCAATAGTAAGCCAACATTAACTGTTTTTAGTCTTAACTGAGATGATCCTAAAGAACAAATTACGTCAGGAAATAGAAGCAGATATGAAAAGGATGAATAACAACTGGAAAGGATTGCTCAGGACGGGGTTCGATAGAGAGTGATGGTGGGCGGCCTTTGCTCCCCCACGAGGAGTTACAGGAGTAAGTAAATACGTAATTGAGATTTTCATGTTATTTTATTGAAAAATGACAAATAATAAACATTTAGAAGAAACTGTTTTAATTTATTAATTTATGAAGAAAATAATACATTCCATGTACAGTTTAGTGGATTGTTGCTCATTGGTAGGTATTTGGCGGCCCGTGGATCTGACTCCTATTTAGATCGTATAAATGATTGTTATCGCCTTTTCTCGTATATCATCGTCGACTTAAATCACGTTATTCAATAACGGAATTTAGATAAGTCAATTAACGATAATGGCCTTTGAATACATATATTTTGTGTGTAAAGTGAATGTAATAGAACAGAGCAAAATGACGCACAGGGAGGATGGCTGGGAAGCCAACTCCATTTTAGTCAAGCGTTACTCAATATTTTATAGTCAGACAAAATAAAGATACAGACATGTGATTAATGGGATAAGAAGGGCACACACATATACGCTCATATAAAAACAATCAAGACTGACAGGCGAATAATTGACAAGGTCAACATATGACTCAAGTAGAATGAATAGATTGGTTTGTCCAAAAACTAGAATAAGGTATATGGGATTAAAATAATGACTGACACTACAGGTATTTTGTGTGTACATGTAATTTAATTAGTTTGCTTTGTTTGTTTTTTCCTTAAATATCACAATGAGTTCTTACAACGAAGTTAAATGCCTATATACGAACTTTCGTCTGAATTCGATCGACTAGCTTCACAGTATTTGGGCGCCGAGTTGAAATGAAACATTAAAGAAGAAGAATGTATTTGTAAAATCTCAACGAATGAATTTGAAGTAAATCCAACGTTTCGCCTAACAATCTGGTTGAAACTTTTTCAAAAGAAACATAATCAAACATCAAAACTATCAAGTATAAATAGGTACATTATTCCCTGGTTCACTGTATATTGAATAGGTCATCCAATCAACGTTAACAAAGTTTAAAGTAGGTATTTGCACTAGTGTGTAAGGGGCATCTGATGTGAAACGAAATGTTAAGATAACAGATTGTGTGTATACGTAAGTGAGAAGAGATTCCATTCACTAAATATTATCTCTAGTTGATGAATTACAAGAAAACATATAAATGACCCTATAATGAACTGTCATACTTTATTCCAGTTCATATGGATTTAAAGAAAAAATGTTTTTAGATGACCAGATTATTCAATTATGTTAAAATTCAAAATTGTATTACAAACTAGTATTTATGTCAAAATCAGTCTATGAAAGCTTTAACACTAAGAAACGTCATAACAGTATTGGTCTTCATAATTATTTATTCATATAACTTTATTTTTCATAACATCTTGTCAACAAATAACTATGGCAACAATCCTACAACCAATGTCGTTTATGATTAATTTTGGTTAAGAACTTTTATTTATTACTTAATCAACAGACAATCTTATTGGAATAGTAACAATTCGCATATTTCTCTGAACCGTTATGATCACTAGATCACATGACAGACTCTAGTTAAAATGTTCATTGCTTAAATATCATCACTCAATGATTCATCCTCCTCTCCATATATGTATGTACTCAAATTCCATTATTAATCCTTGCTTTACCTTGCTGTGTTGTGCCCTTATGCCATTTCACCATTAAATTTCCCTATGTAATTGCTCGTATATATTTACTTGTTTGCCTCTCTGCTTCAAATGCGATCGATGTACTTATAGCTTTGTGATATGTTCTATCCACTAATACACTGCAGTTACCGCTTCTCATTACGTTTTGATCTGAAACACCGTTGAGAATTATCTTATAACGGTTATCGAGATGATTGATTAACGAAGCAGAGCTACTACATACTAGCAGGTAATTTATTGAACACCATAAATATAATAATAAACTACTAAAACTTTCATCCTAAACATTAGTGCAGAAATTATTCATGTAAACTGATATTAATTATAAATGCTTGACTAATGAAAGGAAAGAAAAAAAAACAAATTCATAATTTAATTTGATAAATTATTAAAAACTTACTTGATTAAGTTTTGATGAATTGCTATTTTGAATTTTGCGCCCACGAAATCCAAATCCATGTATTAAAGCTAATGATTTTCGACGTTTATAAGAATATTTTTTTGGATCTGGTTCACAAATTCTTTTAGAAATATTTCCATATGAATATGATCGATTATCGGATAAACGTTGTGAAATAAATGAGAAACAATTGGTAGTTTTATTCATTTTATTTTCAATAAGTACATTATCTGATTGTGTGCTATTGTTTCTTGATTCTGTTTTCAAGGCACTTGATAATTGATTTATATTAGTTAAATTATTTTGTTGTGAATTCATTTCATCAGAATGTATTATTTTATCTGTTTTAGGTTGATCACATTTTGATTGATTAGATAGAATAGTTGAATAGGGTAGATAATTAGAATTTTCCCAAAAATGAGTTTTCTTGTTATTCTGAATTATAAAGAGAATTAACAATAAAGAAGTGTATATTCAAAGTTGGTTTGAATCATTTTTTCTGGTTAGCGTTTTTTTAGCGAGTTAGTTTTCTACGGGATGGGGACGCTAACTCCATGCCCAACCCTCCTCCTTTATCCGGGCTTGGGACCGGCAGTAGCCCCCGGAGGGACTCCAGGCGGAGTTTTTGTTCGGATTACTAACAATATTATTACATAAATAAATACACTGATGTTTTCTTCCATTCACAAAGGATGGTTTAACTAAAACGAACATTTATGCTGGCACGTAAGAATCACATGAATGCTTACTTCAGATAAATGAGTGAGATTCAGTTTGTAGACTAAAAAGTTTAATTATTGAAAAAAGAGTCACGATTTATATATATAACTGTCATTGTCAAAAACCTCCATGTTTCCACCGAGTGATTTCCGAATTGATTTAGACAAAGCAAACTTTGAAGAGCATTCAGTGAACTATTATAAATGAAAGCATATACTCATCAATAAGTTTGAATAAAGCTTTCAATATACTACGTCTTACATTGAACATGATACCTTATGAGTTCCATTTAAAATAAATGACAATTGAATTCATGAAAACTGTTTTTATAAGAAAATAGATTTATCTAATTATAAAGTACTTCATACTGTGTATTATCTGAAATATATTGAAATTCACCATTAATGTAAAGCTTGTCTGCACTTGGTCTTTGTCATTATTATTGATAAGATTCTGATTTGATTATATGGTTCTTCACAACTATATACTTCATCAAGTGTTTTGAAAATCAATTATTTCCAGCAAAAAAGCAACATTTATGTTGGTTTATATTCGAATATATGGGCTTTAGACGAACAATCGGGTCAACAAAATGATTGTTTTTGATCGTTATATAGTGTTGCAAATGTATTGAAATCGTTTTGATCATGACTGTATGCTTGATTATTGTTTGGAGTTTTATGAAGACATTTATCATGATCAGCTCGTGAGAACTTTCTGTATGTTGATGATCACTTAAATCGTAAACAGATGTCATTCGGTTAACCATTGACAACAAGATTGTATTTTGAACTCCTACAGACAATATTTTCACAAAACTCTTCATGTAACTTTCTACTTGAAAGCGTTCCTTCATAACTATAGACTCAGTAATTTCATACATAATCAAACTGATAGAAATTAATGTCATTTATTGTCACATAAATTTATTATCCACAGTCGGGAGTACCGTTTATAATACAACATTGTTCGGTTAAACGTTGAAAATTTGTATAGTGTCTCTGAAAACTAAAATGCTAAAAAAGTCCCGGCTTGATAAAAGTTTGTCTAACAGCACTTTAGGTTTGAGCATATTAGATTCTTTGATAAATAACTCATCAAAAGGTTTACGTATTAGTTTATTGATATGGGAGGTACATCACTCGTTAGAAACGGGATTTTAATATTTGACAGATATTATAGTAAAAAGCATAGAGTTAAACACATACTGGGATCCGAATAAAACTCCGCCTGAGGACCCCCTGGGGCTACTGAAAAATCGTGCATGACGGACATCTGACGGACTCGTTCGAACTAAAGACCAGTGTCAGGCAAGGTTGCTTACTCTCACCCTTTCTCTTTCTCCTGGTCATCGACTGGATCATGAAGACGTCAACATCCGAAGGGAAACACAGGATACAGTGGACATCTAGGATGCAGCTGGACAATCTAGACTTCGCAGATGATCTGGCCCTCCTATCACATACGCAAAAACAAATGCAGGAAAAGACGACCAGTGTAGCATCAGCCTCAGCAGCAGTAGGTCTCAATATACACAAAGGGAAAAGCAAGATTCTCCAGCATAACACAACATGCACCAATCCAATCACAATTGACGAAGAAGATTTGGAGGATGTAAACACCTTTACATATTTGGGCAGCATGACTGATGAACACTGTGGATCTGATGCAGATGTGGAAGCGCGAATCAGCAAAGCTAGAGCAGCATATTTACAATTGGAGGACATCTGGAACTCAAAGCAACCGGCAACCAACACCAACATCAGAATTTTTAATACAAATGTCAACACAGTTCTGTTGTATGGGGCGGAAACTTGGAGAACTACGAAAGCCATCATCCAGAATATACAAGTGTGTATTACCAGTTGTCTAGGCGAAATACTTTGGATCCGTTGGCCAGACACTATTAGCAACAACCTACTATGGGAGGGAACAAACCAGATTCCAGTGGAGGAAGAAATCATGAAGAAGCGCTGGAAGTGGATAGGATACATATTGAGGAAATCACCGAACTGTGTCACTAGGCAAGCCCTCACTTTGAATCCTCAAGACCAAAGGAGATGAGGAAGATCGAAGAACACATTACGTTGGGGAATGGAGACAGACATGAGAAGAATGAACAACACTTGTATAATCTAGAAAGGACGATCCAGGACAGAATGGACTGGAGATTGCTGATTGACGGCCTATGCTCCATTGGGAGTAATAGGCGTAAGTAAGTAAGTAAGCAAGTAAGCAAGTAAGTAAGTAAGTACATATATATATCAATGTTTCTTTACTATCAAAACTTTTTGATGGTTTCATTTATTTTTTAATCTTATGAATGTAAACAGATGAATGGGTTACGAAACCTATTTATATACGAACATACAAATGTAACAGGTTCACTAGTGTATATTCTATTCTTCTTTCTCAAGATAAATCCTATTTACCTTTTCTAATGATTAATCAAAAAGCTCAATAAACATAGAAGTCTCCTCGTGACAAAGTTTCAACATTGTTTACTTATAGATTTTGGGTTTTTTTTCCAAATTGAAGTTAAATCTCAAAAGGATGCAACAACATAAAACTGTAAACGTCCTATCGTAAGTCCTAATGAGATGAGATAAACGAAAATCTTGATTTTATCAGTCTAGTAAATTAGTCAATCTAATTTATTCATGTAATGTAATTATCCATTCTATTTTCTCTAAATTGATAAATGTACACAAAGACATTTATATTGTTTTGTAAAATGGATGTTTGTAAAGGCACAAATCTAATTCACCTGAACACATTTAATTAGTCTTTTGATGTAATAAATATTTTTGTAATATAAACTACATAATATCTAGACAGTAGACTAAATGATAGAAAATTTCTAATTCTCTGTTGAATAGACATTGACATCATAAACATTATGAAATGAAAATAAAATATAACTAATAATGATAACTAACGGTGATGTAAAGAAGGAGATGATATGAATAAATTGTGGCGAACTTTTAAATATATTTTGCATAAAAATCTATATTAGTTGAGAATCTTATGTAGATATAAAGATAAAATACTAGATAGTTGCTTCATCGTAGTCTGGAAATTCTCAAATACAGGTCAAATGTATGAAGTGAACGCACAATTGATTGATCACTTGGTGGTGATCAATGTGATGTGTGTCAAGTCCTTCTTAGTGCAGATCAAATGCTATCGACCAAGTTGCAATGTGGCCGCTGGTCTAGGTGACTCGACATTACGTGCACTACGTTGAGATTAGATGGTGGTTGGAGGTAGTCAACTGGAAACCCTGGACCCGGGTTTCGTGCTACTTGACACTCGTCAGCAAGAGGTACCTATAATCTTGAGGGGACTGATGCTCCCTGACGGAGTCGATCTCATGTCACGCACCTTCACAGTCAGAGTGAAACTTTTATAAAACCAGGTTACTTAAAATTACCAAGTTCACATTTTTAGTTAATTATGACGACTATGTCAACTTATCATGCAGTTTGTATTCTTCAACAATTGACTCTATTCGAATATTTTTAATTCTCTTATACAACTTAATCTACAAAGCAAAACTTGAAATAGTCATTTAATACCTTCATATTCAGTAAAAGTATTTTTTTCAGTCCAACAAGTTAATAATTGTGTTTATCACAGTACCTTTTAATATATCTGGGTCAAACAAAGTAAGTACTGGCTATTTCTGATACTTATGGTCTTATGATAATTTACCGGGGCTAATTTGCATATATATTTTGTAATGAGTCATCTGTAACATTTATTGTATAAGGAAAAGTCAAAGCGTCAGTTTTCTTCATAGGATTTAAATACAGTATTCGGATTTTGTGGCCATGTTGGTAGGTGTAGACTACCTGGTTGAGGATCGCGAGATGATAGCAACCGATGGTTAGAGACCCTGAATGACATGGCTCAAAATCGTTTGCGATGGCGCAAGTGCATCCACTCTTTGTGTTATCCCAAATTCTAATCTCCTGAATCCTCATTGTCTCTTTTTTGAATCGAAAACCGCATCTCTCTGCTAATGTGGTGTGTCAACTCGAACTGATGTACGTACATATAAAGTTCTATGTTGTTACTGACTGACTGACTTTTGTGAGGTATCAATGAAAATTAGTTAAACTTATTTTATCTTCTACAGTGTAGTACTAAAAATGTAGTCGTGATGTAAACTCTTTCTCTGCAAAACATTTGACCACGAGTGACTTTTCACCACGACAACCCTATTTCATCAGGATTGAGATCATGAATTGTTTCAACATTCATTACAGTGAAAAAGCGTGCCAATTTTCTTAACTACCAACTTCATCGTGAAATCATTACCTATCAATAAACGGAAACCCTTTCTTTTGAATTAGGTAAAAATCACTTCATTTAAAAGACATGACAACAAACCTTTCTCCTTAGCTATGATTCATTTATTTAAAATTATCTATATTCCAAATTATTATACAGTTGAATGACTTATTCATATACTTCATCTATTGTGCATGAACTAACGTTGTAGGTTGCATTAATGTAACATAAAAATTTTAATCGTTCTCAAGCATTTGAAAATGATCATATCATAATGTAATCTTAAAGTATACAGAAATCTTTATTTAAATCCAAGTTTGTTATATACAATCAAATCAAATCGGTAATGTAGACGCTGACTAATATAAAGTGTTAACTTGGATCAATTTATAAGCGAAATCAAAGTTGATAAAAACTTGTATAATACCCTTTTATTTAAATAATATCATGATTATAGAGTATACGAATCATAATAATCACTATTCAAAATGAATATACAATTAAATAAAAAGTAGTTATCAAGGCAGTAATTTTTTTTCTGGTTAGCGTTTTTTTAGCGAGTTAGTTTTCTACGGGATGGGGACGCTAACCCCATGCCCAACCCTCCTCCTTTATCCGGGCTTGGGACCGGCAGTAGCCTCCGGAGGGACTCCAGGCGGAGTTCCTCCTGGAAGTAAGTAATCAAGGTAATAAAGACCAATGAGTATGTCGAATGACTTATGTTGGTTATCTGTTGTTCGAGTTATCTAACACTAACACTGATGAAAGTTAACACATCAAACGTTTTCTTTGAAGATATTATAAAAAAAATATCTTATTCAAATGAACTTAAAGAAGTTGGAGTATGAACTTTTGAAATTCAGTTAATTATTGAATTCCAACTTTAGAATTTCAGCAGTAATTGGATTTTATATACAGAAATGAAGTAATGACTGTCAAAAGTGTTTCTTTCCATTCAATTTTCCATCTATAATTACTTGTAATATGGTTACAAAAATGAATGACAGTAAACCTTCATAAACACCAGTGGATCATAAAAATTGACGTTTATTCAGTACTGATTATAATGGCTTGAACGTAACCTACCTGAAATACTGAACGATACTTGTTCAAATTTCTATAATTATTTGGAAAGTCGGTTTGAATAAATCCAATATTTGGAAACACATTCAAAATGTTCTATAACTATGTAAACTACTGACAGTTACTCGCTGTTACAATGTAATATATATGTGTCATCTGGTTTCATTAAACAGATTCAAATTTCCAAGAGAACTAATTAATGAATGAGTAGAATTTAATGTTATGGATTCAGGCAGTTGTTGGAGGTACTGTATGATAAACGTTCGACTGATTTAGTTCAAAAGTTACTAACAGACATTCCAGTCAACAAAGAAACCAGTGAAATCTAAATACCTATTTCGTCCGGACATAAATCTCGTCAATAGTTTCTATTCACTACTTTAAAACAAATCGTAGCATAGAACCTTTCACTTTTTCAAGACCATTGAGATGGTATTCATCGGTCGTAATTTCAAAATTTATTTTAAGTCATAGGGTTTAATAATAAGTCTAACTGTTATCTAACTACTAACTTACTTCATTTACCGTTATAATTTTGTCTGTTTTGATAGGTGAATAATTACAAGTAGTAGATTGTAATTTAGCGTAACTGACAACTGGAGATTTTGCAGGTGAAGTTAATGTGAACTCATGAATTCTTTTATTATTAATTTCTTCAGAAGTTTTCGTTATACTTTTTCTTCGACTGAATTTTCTCAGTTGTGATTTTATTTGAGGTAATGACAATATACTCAAATTTCTATGAATACATGCATTAAATTTACGAGGGATGTTTTGGGGTATTGTAGTGCACGAAGGATTATGTAGAACATCTACAAATGTTGTTGACTGACAATAAGAAGGTAGGTAGTACTCCTTAGGATAATGTAGTTTGGTTTCACTATAAAAATCTGATGGCGAATCATACGAATTTCTTTTAATATTGATCTGGGATTTTTTTAGAAGATCCTGATTACTGTAAGATGTAGATAATGGGGTTGCACTGACGGCTCCAGTGATATTAAGGTAATGTTTGCTTATTGACTGTGAAGTAGTTGTTGATGTAGGTGATTCCTCATATGGATCGTTTTCTTCTGGAGAACCACTTAAAATACTTGTTTGAGTAAGGTTGACTTTGGAGTAGGAACGTTGTAGATCTGCATCATCATTTTCAGCAGTTTCAGCTGAATTCAAATAACGGAATATTCACAGTTAAACAACTTCAGTAAACATCATTTATTGACGAATATATTTTATAAGTAATCTAGTCGTCTAACTTTATTTTACAATTCCTGTAGAATAAGACCATTTATATTAGTATCATAATCAATTTATTGATAATTAAGTCTATCGATCGTAACTTATCAATATCATTCTTATCTGAATTACTTTCAGTAAATTAGTAAAAGTGATGGCGTTTGAAGCGGACGGTACTGGGTTCGAGCCCCAGAGTGAACATCAACCTTTAGATATAGGTATACCTATCTGATGAGTCGTAAATAGGAAGTAATGCGCATCCTGGATTCCACTGCTGGCCACTATCCATCTTTGCTTATTTGAGTTTTTAGTTTGTATCTTTTTTTCCAAAAGATTTCACAAATATGTTTATTGTTAAATGTATAAATTTCACTAGGGTTTCTTTTAGTGTGTGTTAACCATGTGAAAAAATGTGATTTTCCATTTTACAAAAATTGTCGTTTCAGTCTCACGACTGTATATCTTATTAAAATATGCAATGATTTTGTTCAGTTGAAAAAAATCTCACAAATCCACAAAAAGAAGTACATTATCAACTAGTAGAGACAATTGGAACTTTTCTTTTCGACGATTCCGAGTAGTTAAACAATCGATTTGGTTTGATACGCATATAGGAGGAATAATGTTGTAGCTCTTTTATAAATTAAGCTCATTAGGATATGTTTATAATTTAAAGAACTCAGATTTAAGTACAATCTATATGAAACTTAACTCCGCCTGGAGCCCCTCTGGGTTACTGCCGATCGCAAGCCCGGATAAAGGAGAAGGGTTGGGCATGGGGTTAGAGACCCTATCCTGTAGAAAAATAACTCACTAAAAAATGTTAACCAGTATATGAAATTGAGGACAGTTACATTATTTAGATGTACTCTTAAAATTTTTCGAAAGATAATAATGTAGTGCTTTTGCTTCGTTAATCAATCATCTCGATAACCGTTATAAGATAATTCTCAACGGTGTTTCAAATCAAAACGTAATGAGAAGCGGTAACTGCAGTGTATTAGTGGATAGAAAATATCACAAAGCTATAAGTACATCGATCGCATTTGAAGCAGAGAGGCAAACAAGTAAATATATACGAGCAATTACATAGGGAAATTTAATGGTGAAATGACATAAGGGCACAACACAGCAAGGTAAAGCAAGGATTAATAATAGAATTTGAGTACATGCATATATGGAGAGGAGGATGAATCATCGAGTGATGATATTTAAGCAATGAACATTTTAATTAGAGTCTGTCATGTGATCTGGTGATCATAACGGTTCAAAGAAATATGCGAATTATTACTATTCCAATAAGATTGTCTGTTGATTAAGTTAATAAATAAAAGTACTTAACGAAAATTAATCATAATCGAAATTGTTTATAAGATAGTTGCTATAATGTCAGTTTATTTAAATCTAAAACATTTTAATGTTTTTATCAACCAAATAAAACGTCTTTAAATATTCCCATATTCCACTAGTTATAATCAGGTCGAATATTCGCTTGAAAGGATTATAACTAATTTCTTTCTTAACACTCAACAAAATATTCGACATATCGCGCATAATTAATAACACAACTATCAATTATTCATCCATAATACAGATTAAAAGTTAAAAAATAAACAGTATATTGTTCGGTGAGACTATAATTTATAGACGACCTTTGAACGACTCTAGACTGACCTTGAGATTATCCCCTCAACAACTAGGACCAAATGTTTCAGTCGTCAGTTGATGACGAAGGTTAGGAATTCGATTTAACGTTTTCATCACAAACTGATATAAGTTATTATGTCAAAACTGTATTTATCCAAATGGATGAGTGAATTTCGCGCCAAAATCCGAGACCTGTTATCTTACACGTGATTGGTTCGTCCATAAATTATAGTCTCACCTATTGTTTTCTTATTTTAATCTTAATATATTAAATGTATTGTAAAATAGACTAAATTTCTAAAGCATTAATTGTGACTTACTAAAAATATTATTTCTCAGATGGAGATAACTTTTAGAAAATGGTAATTCTGATGCCCATGAAAGTATAGAATGAGTTTTTGAATGATTCATTTTGAAGCCTGATTGATACACATTAGGATGTATTAATTCTTGTGTTACTTGTTGATATGAACAGAGAAAAAGAACAACTTCAGATCTTTCATTTCTTATTGGTGTAACTGTAAAATCACAAGTAAATGGCTCACCTATAAAAAAGATAAAAGGAAAACAAATGTGAAATGCCAAAATACATGATGAAATCAACAAACATTATCTAATTGTTTATATAATAATAAATTTTCAGTATGTTATGAACCAGCCAAAGTTAGACACTTGTTGACGATCAGAAAACAGTAAGCATTTATTTCGTCCTAATATGATGCTTCACAAAATGGGCGTCCACAATAAATCAGGTATCGAACCCAAAATATTCAAACTTTTCAGCGAGTGCCTATAATTTCGACAGGTAAACCGTTACAAATCTGTTTCTAACCAACTTCTAGTATCGAAGTCATGATAAATGGGTTAAAACCATATGAACTGCAAGGTAAACATCCACTAAAGATAATCTACGATGGTTGCTCGATGTCCTAAGTTTATTGATGGCAAGTATGCATAGTATTATTGGTCAAAATTAAAGTCATTCGCAGAAATAGCTGAATGTTTTGGGTTCAATGCCTGGTGGGTCGTGGATGCGCATTGTTATGATGCTTCCTACTAGGACGAAACAGCTATCTAGTGGTTCCTGATTTACAACGAATGTCTAACTTAAGTAATTTTGTAATATCAACAGCATTCAATAATCTACAAAAAATTCTTACATTACAAACAAATAAATCGTGAAAAACAAAAGAAACATTTTATACAATGTTTTGACTATTTTCTGCATATGATTATTCATCAAATTTATAGCGGTTATTTAAACTTAATGACTTCCTGGATAGAATTTCAATGCAGTAATTTTATGTCTAACTGAACAGATTAACAGATAAAAGGATCTAGGTTTCTTCATATAGACGTGAATGCTACTTTTCCCTACAAAAAACTTCAGAGTATTAACTTCATTCTAAGATCTACCATTGATCAAGACAAATAAATATATAGTTAACAAGTGTCTTAATCCATTAGTTCAAGCTAGCTATCTGACATTAAAATGTGATTAGAAGTATTTAGCAGCTTCATAGAAACATTTTACACTGTTAATGTAATGACTCAAGTTCATAAAACCCATTCTCAACACTTAAGAAAAAATTTTCAGAGAACGTTAATAAGATAGGATAATAAATAAAATAGACTCGAGATACCAGTTTATTAGAGTATAGGACGGATAACAAAGCTACAGTCACACCGAGCAAATTTTAAGCCGAGAGGCGAATGTTCAAAGGTGCAAGCAAAAACAGATATGAATTTATTGTGAAATCGAATCAAGGCACAGTGAAGCAAAGGCTAATATTAGGATTCGAGTACACGGGGAAGAGAATGAATCATCGGGTGTTATTTAAGCGATTGACATTTTAGCTAGAGTCTGTCATGTTACGAAGGGTACATGTTTAAACAGATATGGTAGTGATCATAATAGTACAAAGAAATATGAGAGTTGTTACTGTTAGAATAACATTGTCTATTAAGTTAATAAAAGGGCTTAGCCTGAATAAACCATAATTGACATTGATTGTAGGAGAATTGCTATAACATCATATTACTATTAATATTACTTATATAAGTTAGAGTAATAACAATCCCAGTGTCTTATATAATGATAGTAAAAATATATTTTTGTTCATTCGAGTTACTAACTGACAGTTTAAATTAATGTTAACCTTAAATATATATATGCAATAAACAATTTTTAATGCTATTCACTAATAGGTTTGCGTGCAGAAAAATGAGCAGTAAGAGTATACTATTATAGCTGTATACATTTGTAAAGGCAAATTGAATTAATTAATTTTGAAACAATTAATCCTTTTTTATAAATTTGACAGCGCAATAAGAAAACGGAGATAATCTGAAAATGAAATGAGAAATTGTGTCCTGAAGATTTCGAAATGTTATAGTTTACAGAATCTTTGCTAAACAACAATCGAAAATTAGGATACACAGGACAGCTATTTCGATAGAGTATTGGATGAGTCAATAAGACATATTCACTCACGTCCTTACTAGGGATTAAATGTAAGACAGTCAAGCGTCACATACTGCACATCTTCGATTTGAATCAAGTGTTACCATACATCTTCACTTATGTACATATGTGTTATAAATATAACCTTGGAAATTTCAAAAACTAAAACAATGCAACATCACAAATTTATTAAATATGCATTTTAATTTTGCTTTCCAGGAGTTTTTTTATTATATTAGGTATGACTTTGTAATGTACACTCTGAAGATAAGTGTACCTAGTCATTAGTGTCACAGTAAACAACAGTCCTTTCCAAAAATGGTGAACAATATTATTAATATTATTTGCTCATCGCTATTCATTTCAAGCGACATTTTAGTGAATATTTCAATAATTGAGATCATGAGTCAGTTGAAGCTAGAACACCATGGAAAACCTGTAAGCACTGGGACTCCTCGGCAGAGCGCAGCCACGACTCCGCCTTGCGGGATCCGGACAAAGAACTGATCAGTCCTGCACGCGAGAGCATAACCACTAGACCACTGAGCCTGGTGTTAATTTCTAACTTCAACTAATCCACGAAATCGAGCAACACATCTACCATTGTCATCAGTGAGCTACTATCGATTTATTTGTCCTCATAAACGAGAACTATCCCAGTTTAACTTTAATTATTTATATCCATTTGAAAACACTTTGTTTCCCATCTAATTTATTTATATTTCCAAGTGATACATTTGATGTTGACTTTCATTTGAACTTTTAATTGTAGAGATTTGAAAGAGTAATTTCGGCTTTATATATCGATGATACTGATGGTATTGGCAGGATGAGTTATTGACCTATCTAAATGATTAAATTCAAATGCTCACGAAAAGAAAACAGAAAAAATCTTGCAAAATTTCGTGGTCCGTGATCGGACTCCAGTTATATCGTATGGATATTATTGAAGTACACACGTCGTCTATCATCGTATGTAATAATCGACATAATCTGCGTTGGTGAATAGCGGGATTATATAAGTCAAATACGACAATGGATTTACGAATACATATATTTTATACGCTCGTTGATCTGAGCAGGCAATCAGATGTCACTAAGTAAATGGTCAATGTTCAAAGTCATAACGAATATTATTGTTAACTTTTTATTGTGTTATTATTATTACATTAAGTTGTTTAAAACAATGAATATTTTAAATTCCTAAACGGTGGTAGATTATGATGAATTGCTAGACATGTTTTAGGTTGTACATTGAGAATTGAACTATATTTTTGAAAATAGGTACCTCTAGATATTTCTCTGAAAGTTGTTATTCCAATCTGTTTTATTTTTAGAATAACCCTTCCACAGAAACAGTCTTAATTTGTATTCTGAAGACTTTTACAATGAGAGTTTTTAGACTTTGAATTGTTTTTAACCTAATACCGACTTCTTTGATTTATTGAACTGTAAGGGAATCAGATGTCATTGAACATCTCCTAGAGTTCTTGCAATAACTTCAGCCAATGTAAGAGATTTTGGCGTGAAATTCACTCATCCATCAGTTTGTGATGAAAACCCGAAATCTAATTCCTTACCTTAGTCATCAACTGTAAATCACAATTCTAATTCCACACACTTGTTTATAACCTTCGTTTGGTCCTGGTTATTATGTGGACATCCTCAAGGTCAGCCTAGAGTCGTTCAAAGGTCGTCTATAAATTATAGTCTAATCTTCAAAACTTCATGTCTTATGCATGTAAAAAGATTATATATATAAAGGGTATTCAATCAGCAGTTTTATCTCTTATGTGTGTTTTTATTAATGTCAAGCAAACCGTATTCACTTAAAGGGAATGTTTGACTTATATCCTTTTAGATTGTGAGAGTGATAGTATACGTTTTTCTTATGATTGATTGCTTCTCATCTGTTTTATTATTCAGTAAATCTTGATTTCGTTTAACTAAACATTTGATTCCATTCTTTTGATTAATAACAAAGAAAATTTTAGTTTACAGTACCACAAGGTCGATATACTAATCTGATCATTCGTTTGTTGTCGTCTAATTATTTTCAACCTGGAATAAAAATATGTTATTTTCAGCAGCATTATGAATCTCTTCAATACATCAGAGAGGCAGTTCCACAGAAAATACATTGATTTTATTGTTTTTGTTCACCATACATAGGTTTCTTCACTTACCAGTACGTGTATAAAATACAGCTCTATTTCTGTATTCATAATGATTATGAAATGCTTGATTGATTTCCATACGAACTGTTGGTGTTGTTTCAGAACCCCATAAAAATTGGCATATACTACTACGTGACATAACATTCGCTCTTGAATAATGAGTTAACAGTAAAAATCCATCAGAACAATAAACAATAGGATAATACTTTCTTTGTGCATTACCAAGTACAAAGTTTGCATCTGAAACAATAAATAAATTAGAATAGATAATAGATAATTATGGATGAAAGTGAAACATTGTATTATACCAACAAATATTTAAGGAGAATTGGACTGATCGGAATGATTTTCAATATTTATTTCTTACTAACCAGAACATATATGGCTGGATTGATACATCTTTGTCATTTATATTTAATTAAATTTAACTGTCACTTAACCAACTGTTTTACACAAATGAAGATGTTTACGACGATAACTCTCAGTAATTAACCGACATACATAACATGATAAGATCTAGTTACAAAGATAAATACCAAGTTTTGTTTTATCACACTAATGTAGAACAATTACATAAAATCCTGTATTTTCCCAATACCAATTAGATATTTTATCAGCTAGACAAAAAAATAAAGTATTAACAAGATCTAAGTATCTCAAACGTTGGATTAATGTTAAAATGTGTATCCAAGTGTAATGAATTTAATCGCATAAGCTCTATCCACATAAATAATGTAAGCCGCAAACAACTAGAATTATATAGTAGGCAACGCTGATAAATTGTCAGTTTGTCAAGTTTTATGTTGTGCATTATATGAATAGTGATAAATACTTTCGAACTACGCATTTTTTTTCTTAATATACCATACAAACGTATAATCCCCCCCCCCAAAAAAAAAGCTTAGTAAAATGGCAAATGATAGGCAATACTAAGAAATAATGAAAGTAAACTTTATATTTTGTTCTTGTGTACTAACAGTCATGAGAAAAAACTTAATCCTTCAATAAGCCAACTAATCACATTCAATTAATCCAAACTGAAGTTAGTCACGTAAAAAAAGTTATTTTATTAAAAACCAGCGTTATTTTTTTCTAAAACATCAAGACGATTGGTTACGTCACAATATCAAATAATCCTAAGGATTCATCAGGATGATTTAGATGGCTAATGTTTGACTGAAATCGATAGGACTATATTCACAGTTCTCAGCTATTTAACCATGAATTTGTATCGATATATGTGAAATATTTTTTCTGAAGATAATTTAAATTCTAACTCATTTTGGTTAAAAATGTATTAAAAACCAGGAAGCGCTGACGATCGTTTTCATTTTAGCACTGAACGCCACAGTAATTTTTTGCCAACAATTCGTTGAGAACTGAATCCAGAACTTTAAAAGACTAATTAAAGCAAGTTAGCCTTCAACCAATGAGTTGTATACAATAGTTCGTATTTTTGAGTTTAGTCAATTCAAGATCATATACGAGCGTCAATTAGTACAAATAGTGATAATTAATTCAGTTACGGAATTGTAGATCACTGGATTTCAACTCACTAGTTTCAATGAAATCAAAAAGATCTAGTTAAGATACTTGACAAATTTATTAATGTGGCCTATACAGAAGCTCCATAAATGGAAGAAACAGCAATTCATTACATTTTTAATTTTCATTGGTTGTCTAGTGAAAAATCAGTATCTATGATAAATTATCCCCAAATAGAGCAAATTTTACAAACCTTCTATTTCAATAAGAATTATGTAATAAAGTGAAAAATACCATAATTCACAATGATTCAAGTTTATTTAGAAAGAGCAATTCATTATGATTTCTATACTAATCTAATATATATAAAAGATGAATATAAATTACATTTTATTTATTTATCTTTATTAGATTTGAGCATGCTTCTAATTATATAGATAATATTTACAAGGAAGGGATTTATATTATTAATGTACATATTATTCAATGAATGTATCTAACAAGCCATAAAGCAGTTGACTTTTAATTAAACGTTGACAACAGTTCAAAAAACTATTATGATTTGATTAGGACAAATGAACATTGTAAACTAGAAACCAAACAAAAAAAAATCAAAATTGTTGCTTCTCATAAAGTTGAAATTTAAAATAAAGGAATTTAACGAATTCTAATATGGGAAACTAAAACAAAAAAAGATAAAATATTCTTGTGGACATAATCTTTGTGTTATCATCTCTGTGTCAATGAACAGTTAAATACCTAGCGGTTTGATTGAATATCTGGGCTACATGTTCTTACCATCTAGATATTTCAATAAGTTATTTGTTACCTTGTTTGTTTTCACAGATCATTATATCTAATAAATGCATACTTTATTCAAGTGTGTTTTTGAAATGTTTATGACCTTTCGCAGTACAATCTACGAAGATGTTCAATCACAGATGGTGAGTAATATTTATTGAAAGGAATGAATATTATTCAGAAGTTAATTCATAAACTGTTAACGTTTAACGGGCAATCACCCAATAGTAGTTTTCAAGTTCGATCAAGAAATTAGGAAAGGCAGCTTCTTAAAATACTTTGTACTGAGAATCCTATATTGTTCCAAATATTGTATATTGAATAAAGTCTCTAACAATAGAAATAAAAATTTAAACAGAGCGGAAATGACATTGTTTTTGTGTTCTTATGGATGCCTACTGAATTAGTTGGTTCTTTGACACTGACAAACATATAAAATTCTTGCGTAATTTCAAAATCTCTTCAAGAGTTAAGCAAAATTAAATTATTTGTATTTATTCAACAAAAAATCACACTAATCTCTATTAGCCATTCAAGATTACTGATATCACTCCAAAAAATATTACTATCGAATTTTAGATTTATTCATTGTACATATTACGTCATGACAGTTCTGATAACCATTATGTAGCAAATGTATACGAAAGGTTAATCTTTAATTACTGAGTACAAAACTTTGAAAGTAATAGAGTTACCATAATAGTTATTGATCTCAGTGTTAAAGGTTATTTATTGCTTTGCACTATTATGAATCTTGTATGCAGGTCTTCTAATTATATACATGGTCCTTTTGGACAAAATTTCCACATTATCTACTAAATAATCGCATTAAATATATCTGTTTAGTGTTGAGCCTGAGATGACATTTTTAAAAGTTAAAATTGTACAATTCTACAGTTTCCGTTTTCAAAAATCTCTCTCTGCGTTAGGTTATTGAGTATTCTCTGGTAATTAGTTGATATATGATACTAGTCTAAGCCATTGCCATGATTTTATATCAGCCGTTGAAAACTCTCTAGAAATATGCTGAGAATTATTTATTTTTATTTACTGCTCCTATATGTAAAACTTTTAGTCAGATATATGTCATAGGTAAACTTCTGTTGATCTAAATTAACATTTAGACAAGAAAGAACCAACCAACAAAATAACTGGCATAGAATTTGACACATTATGTATAATAAGAAGAATAATTTTTAAATAAAAATACCCAGAATTTGACTTTTCACTCACACCTGTAATATTCTGAAAAAAAAAGGTTTTCTTACGCCATTGACAACCCGAATGTCAAATGGGACAATTGAATACATCTTACACATTGATAGGCTTAAAGAAAGGAAAATGTTAAAAATATTCCGAAGCTTATACGTCAACAGTAATTTCATGTTACCCGAAAGTAAAATTAACCTTATATTTCTTCCAGTAAGTTCATGGCAAAAATGTTATCTAGACATCTTTGTGTAAACTAGGACCACTCTTCTCATGGTGCATACCATAAAGTGACGAGCGATCTTGATATATTTTTTATTATGATCGTGTTTGTAATTTCCAACAGTGTAAATTCGATCTTTTACATTTTCTTTCTTAAAACTTTCAATTCCCCTGCATTGTCCGATTGACGATATGACTCATAATTTCTTTGTCAAGTATATTCTCAAGAATCTCAGTCACTGAGGACAAGATAGTCTTCGTAGTTCAATAGCATGCTACCTTCTAAAAATGGAATCCAAGGTAAATGGAGAGAAAGGATCCAAAGTGATGAACAAAGGATCTAATTCTGGTCAAGAAAAATTCCCCGAACCTCAGCAATTAGAAAGCTTAAACTTCAGTCGGTTAATTTTCATCCAAGTCGTTATCCAAAGATAAATGAACCACCTTGATCATTTACACATTTTCCGGGTTTTGTTTTTTAACTGATCAGAATTATAATCTAATGTTGAACTTATGAGTCTTGTTATCCTTAGATTTCTTAAGTGTTTATCATATTATCGTTTTAAGTATTAAAAAAACTGTCAAAATTTTTATTAGCATCACTAGGGTTTTTTTGGAGATTTTAGTAGTTCCAATAGTTGAAAACATGAGTCACTTGAAGCTAGACCACCATGGAAAACCAGGAAGCACTAGACGGCCGCTTCTTCCTATTGTGGGACTCTTCAGCAGTGCTTATCTACGACCTCACCTTGCGGAATTCGAACCGAGGACGTGTCAGTCTTGCATGCGAGACTGTTGATACTAATCACTAGTGACTGGCTTCAAGATATATATCCTGGAGTTTTAGTGAAAAGCAATGACCAGTGGAGTTCAACTGGGTGAGTTGTGAGATAGTAACTCATTGATGTTAATGGTGAATATGTCGCTCGATTTAGTGGATTAGTTGAAGACAAACATACCAGTGGTCTAGTGGTTAAGCTCTCGCGCGCGAGACTGATAGGTCATGTGTTCGAATCCCGCGAGGCGGGGTCGTGGGTGCCCACTGGTAAGGAGTCCCATAATAGTACCAACCGACTGTCCAGTACTTCCAGGCTTTCCATGGTGTTCTAGCTTTAACTGACTCATGGTCTTCACTATTGAAAAGATTTATTATTAAATTGATTTACATTCTGAACAACTTTTACGTTGATTACATCACTTCTCTCGAATTCATAATCTTTTTTGCAATTGACTGATCTCAACTCAGGTTACTCATAATTTATTTTTATTTACTTCATCAATATTATAACTTGTGCCCTGTGTCCTATTCATATATAATGATAACGCCAGTTAGAGAATAGTGAATTCTCGATCGGACCAATGACGCATAAAACCCGTAAGTGCAGTCTAGAGTCCTTATCGGACCTAATTCCTGCCTAACCCTACCTGTTAGGTCCAGAACACCAATCTCAGCATCTGCTATATGAATCATTTATTCCAAACACACTGGGTTTATATACCAACCAAACAGATCACATCGTATC